GCCCCCTTCTCTCGCTCGGGAACAGGGTGCGGTATTTACGCTTATTGCCTAAAAGAGCACCATGCGTTGACGAGAAGCTGCGGCAAGCCAGGGGTGGGAATGAAGGTGTAAGGACCATTAAATGCTTAAGAGTTTCCTGTTGTATCACCACGGCAGAAGACGCGTATATCAAACACCACCAGCCTGAGCCACTGTTAAATTTGCGGTGTTCAGCGGCCCTCAAAATTTCTCGTATCTTTACCTGCGATGGCACGGTCCAGCAATTATAAATTGGACCACAGAACACATGCAGGGAAAAGCCCAGTCCTGAGTAGTTTCTGTCACCGCTTACTCAGGGTAAGAATTTCCAAAGGCCAGAAGTAGTTCAAGAATTTTGTCTATAGCTTATTGCAATAAACGTGGATGGAGAAAAGCGGCTTTCCTGAGTGAATGTGAGGACAGAGGATCAACTTACAAATGAAATAATGCAACAGTTTACAGCCAACTTTGCGGACGAGTTGGTAAATAATAGTCCAAAACTGGGGGAATGACTTCAGGTGCCTTGTTCACATCCATAAAAAGATCATTCAGAACCAAACCATGACTGCCATTTCTATCCACAGAAACCAGAACATCCTCTTTCAGCAAGAAAACACAGGATTATTTCCTAACCTAAAAACTTAAGCCTGCAGGAGATCAGTTGTCGGCATGAATGTTTTTTTGACAGGCTGTAGGAATCCTGGAAATAAAGTGCCTTGTGTCCCAGAACCTGCTCACAAATACAGAAATGAAGACAAAATATGCCATAAACTTGTTATAGCTACCAGTCTGCGGGAGAGCAGCGGAATGATTCACCGTACTGAAGTACGGAGAGCACAAATGCACAGGTACATGATACAGCCTACATATGCGAACTTCAGAGCTAACCCTTTTCAGTTAAACTATGCAGATACTGAAAGAACATTCTATCCATAAAGAATTTGCTGGCATGAACATCCTTCAGGCAAACGAGGATGAAGAGCTCTGATTAACAAGAGTTTATGAGTTACATGACAAAAGGTGGGTCTCATTGGTAATGGCAGGGACGTAACTAGGATGCCTTCGGTAATCCATACCTCTTCTTGTGCTTGTCTAACTGAAAAACATTGACCTCGGACACATTGAGATGCAAATAACCTTTAAACTCTTCCTAGAAATGCACTATATGAATAAAAAATGCCAAAGGATTGCAGAAGGGTGTTTTGTACAGTTGTAGTCAATAGAAGGCATTCATCCCTAAAAAAAAAAAATCTGATTTTTTTTTGTAATTAATCACTGGGTTGCCACTTAACTGTTGCAACAGAAAACTCATTTAACTGAGATTCTATCAGGCTTCAGCTCTGTTTCTCCCACACACATACAATCAACAAAGCAGCTAAAAATAAAAGTTTGATTCTTTTGTACCAGACCCAGGACAACCTTGCTGGAGTCATGATGGGGCTTTTCAGTAAACTGCTGGAGTAAAAAACACCACGCATACGAAAATTCTCACAGACTGAAGCAGCAGAAGAAATATTTCCTGCATCCCTTAGGCTAGGCATAAGCTGAAATGCAATTCCAATTTCCTTTTGCAGCTAGGAGTATTTCCTGCTTTTTTTAAAAAAGCAAGAGAGACTCAGTGCTGCAGACAGAGGTGCTTTAGCCTTGGAAGCCCTCAGAACATAATTTTTATATTAAAAAAAAAAAATTACTTTGTTCAAGCCAGCAGTAGATCCAAGAGTATTTGAAAAG